CGTGTGTGTGTGTGTGTGTGTGTGTGTGTGTGTGTGTGTGTGTGTGTGTGTGTGTGTGTGTGTGTGTGTATGTATGTGTGTGGGTGTGTAAGTAAGTAAGTAAGTATGTGAATTGCTTATAACTTGAACGGTTGAACCGCGATTTCATCGCGGTTGGTGCCATTCAAAAAGGCTTCGACAAACTTAGATTCCCTGTTAATTGAAATCGATTCGGACCGATAGATTTTGAGAAATTTTGAAAAATCTCAAAAAAATCATTTTTGAAAGTGGTTTTTTTGGAATATCTTTTAACCGGCTCGATCGATCCACTTCAAAAACTAATCCGCCCTTAAGCTTGAAAAACCACGCTGATCGGTGCTAATCCGGTCAAAATCGGTTGATTCGTTCGAGAGATAGCGTGAACGAAAGGAAACCAAAAAAAGTGTTTTCTTCACATAACCGATATTTCTTTTCGGATCGTTTTTGATGAAATAAAATAATTTTTAGAGCTCAAAAAACCGCGTTGATCGCCGCCAAGAACGTAATAATCGGTTGATTGGTTCGAGAGATATCCTCGACGAAATATTTGGAAATAAGGATTTTTTCAACATAACTCCGACATTTTTTGGAATAACTTTCAAACAGCTCTACCGATCGATTCCAAAAACTAATCAGCTCTTAACATCAAAAAACCACGTCGATTGCCACCAAGCTGGTCAAAATCGGTTGATTCGTTCGAGAGATATCGTGAACGAAAGAAAACCGAAAAAAGTGTTTTTTCGGGATTACTCCGAAATTTTCGGATCAATTAAAACCTGAAAATAACTTATGAGGATGATAAAACTGCGTCAAATGACGCCAACCGCGTGAAAATTGGTTGATCCATTCAAAAGTTATTGCGGTTTGAAAATTCCAAAAATAGTGTTCTATGAAGCTTCTATCAGACTTTTGAGCTGGGAGAGCTCAAATGCATTGAAATATTATTTCTTTGAATTCAGCGAGCTCAAAATATCACATAAATTATATTTTGAGCTTAAAAATCTCAAAAATGTCATAAGTACAATTTTAAGCGCCCAGGAATGAAATTAGTGGGAAGTTGCACGGATGGCCAGCGTGAACCGTTTTTCTAATTTTTTTTTCTTGAGTTTTACGTGCTTTTTTTACTTCAACAATGACTATATAATCGATGTTAGGATTTAAAAATTGAAAAAACAATTAAAACAATGGCTAAAATAAAAAACAAAAAAAATGTTCTTGTAGTTATAAGCAAGTTTTCACAAGTTTATCATGAACATAATGATTTTTTTACTAGTCGACAAATTTAAGTTTTTATATACAAGCCTGCAAACACCCTCTAAAAATGTAGAGATTTTGTTTATTTTTTCAAAACTTAAAAGAGCATTTTTAAAAAAAAATTTCTTTTTTTTTTTAACAAAAATACATCAAAAAGAATATTTTTTTGGGTCAAATATTTGTATATGGAGACTTGACACAAATTGAAATTTTTTCTTTTGAATATTTGCACGTTTTAGGCAGAAATATGTCGATCCCAAAAAAAAAAAATTAGAAAAACAGTAGACCCTGAAGGCCATTCCTGCAACTTCCCGTTAATTTCATACCTAGATGCTTAAAATTTGACTAATGATGTTTTTGATCTCTCCAGGCTCAAAAAGATAGCTTTTCTATGCTTTTGAGCTCTTTGAGCTCAAAAGGCCGTAGAAGTTTGATAAAACATAATTTTTTAAATTTTCAAACCGCAATAACTTTTGAATGAATGAACCGATTTTTACGCGGTTGGCAGCATTCGACGCAATTTTTTAAGCCTCATAAAGAATCTGTAAGTTTAATTTGATCGAACAAGGAATTTCGAAGTAATTCCGGAAAAACACTTTTTTCGGTTTCCTTCGTCAACGATAACTCACGAACGGATCAACCGATTTTGATTGGGCTGACAGCAATCGACGTGGTTTTTTGATGTTAAGAGCTGATTAGTTTTTGAAATTGACCGGTACACGGAAAAGAAATTAGGAAAACGGTTGACCTTAAAGGCCATTCCTGCAACTTCCCGCTCATTTCATACTTAAGCGCACAAAATTGCATTTATTACGTTTTTGAGCTCTTCGAGCTCAAAAATATCATTTTCGTATCATTTTGAGCTCTCCGAGCTCAAAAATCTGCTAGAAGGTAAATGAAACACTATTTTTCGAATTTTAAAACCGCAATAACTATTAAATGAATGAACCGATTTTTACCTGGTTGGTGGCATTCAACGCAGTTTTTGAAGTCTCACAAAGAACTTTTAAGTTTAAATTGATCGAACAAGGAATTTCAAAGTAATTCCCAAAAAACGATTTTTTTGATTTTTTTCGTTAACGATAACTCACGAAAAAATTAACCGATTTCGACCGGACTGGCGGCAATCGAAGTTTTTTTTTAAGTTAAGAGCTGATTAGTTTTCGGAATCGAAGCCATTTGAAAGTTATTGCAAAAAAACCAAATTAAAAAAAATTTTTTTTTGCAGTTTTTTTGAGAATAAATTCATTGTCTTGTTCATATTCATAATTAATTAATAAAATAATCGGTTCACAGTTTTATGGAAATATTTATTTGATGTTTATATAAATTTTCACAACGTTTCGTCGGTTTCCCAACTTCCTCAGGTGCTAGAACAATTAAATACAAAAATACTTTACAATAATATTCTTATTGTTCTGATGTTTTTTTGAGATTTCTCAAAATCTACTGGTTCGAATCAGTCCAAATTACGGTCAAAATCTAAGTTTAGTCAAGCCCTTTCGAATGTTGCCAACCGCGATGAAATCGGTCAAGCCGTTCAAAAGTTATGAGAGGTTTACATATGACCGTGTACACACACACACACACACACACACACACACACACACACACACACACACAAGCAGCAATGCTGTCATCAGAAGCTGCCTGGAAAGCCACAAGCACTTTTGCTACAAAAGTGCTTACCGAGTTGCGATCCATTGAGAAGAAAAGAGCGAATGACAGAAACTAGAAGGAAGAAATAACATCTTAGCCACCAGAAGGAAGAGCGGCAGCTAATTCCTCCCCCCGCGAAGAAATGCCTTACGGCGGTACCATGGGGGATCAGAGGATAGAAGAGAAAGGGGTTTAGGGTTTAGTGGGTAGGGACGTCAGCGTCAAGTTTTAGTATGACGCTGCGTCGAGTCGCCACATATCCGGGCCAACATCTATGCCTAGAATCCGTAAAAAGGATTCCCTCCCCTAAAGGGGAAAACACACACACACACACACACACACACACACACACACACACACACACACACACACACACACACACACACACACACACACACACGACGAGGAGACGAGAGTCTCGTGGGGAAGCATCGTAAGACCTCAAAACGTCGAAATCTGATGAAAACTTGATTTTTGCAAAACGGGGTGAAAACAATAACTTCCCAATTTTTGAAAATCTGAGATTTTTAGAGGGAAGTTAAATATTTGTTATGTTAAATTAAGCAGAAAAACTTTCAAACCAAGAAATTTGCATTAAATTAAGGGAATGTAACTTTATTCAAAAGTTTTTCTGAAAGATTTAAAAAAATTCAAAGTGATTTTTTTCAATCAAAATTTGTGTTTCTTCGATCAAGTTAATTTTTTAATTACTATGAAAGCTCTGCTTGTTATGTTATATATCATTATTCTGGTCATTATTATTAATTTAGACATGCTGTGTGAAATTATCATGTTTATTGATATGAATTCAAATTATTTCAGGAATACGTTTTTCTAATCAAGTCATTTTATTAAACAAATAATTATCGTTCAAACGTATTTTATTCATTTCTTACATGATCCCGAAGTTGTTCATCATTGAATTTCATCTGTAGTAATAGACACGCAGTAGTTATATCTTTCGCAGTTATAGAGACAAGCTCCTTTAAGATCCGCAGTAATACATGCATAAGAACTTTTTTTTAAATTCTTATTATTTAAAGAAAATTTTGGTTTATCGCATTCTTGATTTTTTTTTTTAGTTAATAATGAGTCAAACTTTGGTTTAAAAAAAAAAATTATTGTCATTTTTGAAAAATTTAATAAAAATGCTTTTGAAGTATGAGTGTAAATATTCGTCCAATGAGGAACGGGGCACGGGTCTATCATACACTATATCCGTGCTCGTACCCGTGCCCCGTGCGTGTAAAATATTTGCACAGGTGTAGAATATGCATAGACCCATGCTCCGTGCCTCATCGGACAAATTCTCACTTCCTTTGAAGTAATACCTACAGAAAAAACCGCAGTAATACCCACACTTATCTTATTGTACATTGAATTTTCATTACTTCATGATTTATCTTGTTCTTGTCTTACAATATTATGCATTTTAAGAACCTACCTCTAGCTTTATTTTCTTTTGAACATCCTCGAATTTGTTGAGTAGTCCGATCGATAAGATCGGAATTTGGATGTGGGCATATGTATTGTCCTATTTGTAGATTAATGCAGTCAACTGTGTAATTAGTTCCATAAGCGTACTTAGAAAAAACATTTACAATGATCACTAAAGATAGTTGTAAAAAAAAATATCTTTGTGACATCGCCAGCATGCGAATTTCTAAACTTCATCTACTGTTGAGATAAACATATTTTTTTAGACTGCAAAACATGATCAGAACTTCAGCTGTCGTTAAATTTAGATATGTTGTGATGTTTTGATATATCTACACTGTTACCACTGTATAATTTATTTAATTTATATAATTTACAGTCAATTTAACAAAGGTAACTAGAATAGAGAATGGCCGCGTTCAGGTTTACTAAGTTCTGAGCAGGGCTGGCTTTATCTACCTATAAATAAATATACCTTGCTGTTTTATAGGGACCGAGCGCTAACTGTAGAGGCAGCACATCAGTCGGAAATGGCGCGCCCTGGTGTTTAACAAAAGCACTAAATGGGCAAAAAGTATTACAATAGCTTATGTATTTTTTTACTAAATAATAGAAAAAATAATAAAATATGCTTTTTGACATTAATGTTTAATTTTTTTCCCTAGTCTTTTACTTATTAAAGAATGCGTTAATTACATTTTTAGGGCAAAATCATTTTCATGCAAATACCCAATTGGCTACACTGTCGATGGAGTAGATCCCAATTGCCCAGATTTAAATATCCCAGAATCCGATCACTCATATTATCGATGATATGAATTTTCGATGGGATAGAATTCCGATTACCCTAAATTCCGATGATACAGAACCCGATTGCCCAGAATCCCGATATTATTAATCCCAATGACCCTGAATTTCAATGAATTAGAATCCCAATTGCCTCAAATTTCGATGACACCAATCCCGATTGCCCAGAATCTTGATATTGTTGATCCCGATTACCCTGAATTTTTGTCGGCTAGAATCCCGATTACTTAAAATCCCGATGATACAGATGTGAACATTACCCAGGGTTAAAAATTTTTAATTCTCATCCACTCTATGAAATTATCGAGTTTATGGCAATATGTTGTATTGGCAAAACTGAGATCGGAGTAGAGCGTGAACTTAGTTACAGTGAAGGTAAATATATTTATGATGGTTAGTAGTAACAGCGTGTTGTGACAGCTTGTAAACATTAGGTAAGATTATAAATTTAATTATCTTTCGTATACAAAAATTAAGTTTCATTACAATATCAGTACAATAATTCGTGTATTATTAAAATAAATTAATTATATTATTTTACATATCTTATTATTACGGTTATAATTTACATGCAATTCATTAAAAATAAGACTTACTACTTAAAAAATTATTTATTTTACAGACTGCAGAAACCCTTGGCCTTGTTCAACTTTCACAGCTACTAACATTTAGATGCTGCATAATATTTCGAGCTTGAAAATAGCAAGTATCCCAATTATCATCAGGCTTGGATACAAAAAGGGGGACAGCTTCTTCAGGTTTATCCCAAGGAAATTCACTTAAAAACTCCATTTTTCTGACCTCCTTAGCCGTCGGCCTCTCCTTGTGATCCAACGTCAACAAGCTATCAATCGCTTGAAACGCGTGTTTTCCCAAAATCTCATCGCCTTCAGGCCAAGGAATGTCCCTCTTTAAAATATTCTTAAAAACCTTCTGTGGTGTCTTATCATTAAAAGGTGGAATCCCCGTAAAAAATTCATACAAACAGACGCCCAGCGCCTACCAGTCTACTGCAGCGCCATGACCTTGCTTCCTGAGTAACTCTGGTACCAAATAGTCAGGAGTACCAAGAATCCTGCTGTCCGACTTGTCTTCCCCTCTCCTCACACTTTTCGGAGTTCTATATGGTGTTGTAAAATTAGCATCTTGTAAACTTCCCGCAGGAGTTTTTATCGGAGAAACTCCTTGTGGTGACCGCTCTCCAGCAGCAGCAGCAGCAGCAGCAGCAGCAGCAGCAGCAGCAGCAGCAGCAGCAGCAGCAGCAGCAGCAGCAGCAGCAGCAGCAGCAGCAGCAGCAGCAGCAGCAGCAGCAGCAGCAGCAGCAGCAGCAGCAGCAGCAGCAGCAGCAGCAGCAGCAGCAGCAGCAGCAGCAGCAGCAGCAGCAGCAGCAGCAGCAGCAGCAGCAGCAGCAGCAGCAGCAGCAGCAGCAGCAGCAGCAGCAGCAGCAGCAGCAGCAGCAGCAGCAGCAGCAGCAGCAGCAGCAGCAGCAGCAGCAGCAGCAGCAGCAGCAGCAGCAGCAGCAGCAGCAGCAGCAGCAGCAGCAGCAGCAGCAGCAGCAGCAGCAGCAGCAGCAGCAGCAGCAGCAGCAGCAGCAGCAGCAGCAGCAGCAGCAGCAGCAGCAGCAGCAGCAGCAGCAGCAGCAGCAGCAGCAGCAGAAGATGTCTCTGGAAGCTCGAATCTGGTCGCTTTTTTATCTTTTTCTAGATCCCCCAATTCTTATTCTAATCCTGGTCTAGGAAAATGTGAAGAAAAATAAGAAGAAACCGGAGTACTAAAAGCAACTCGAGCTTCATTTTTGTATTTTCCGGTCTCCGGGTTTTCGTCTATTCTTCTAAGAATTTCTCCACTAAAGCTTCCTGTCCTGGTCAATAGTCCTCTGTTGGGTCTTTTGGGAGTCAAATTAGCATCCAGGCCCATTAAAAGAATTTCCCTGGTGAGTCCCGTCGAGGATGAGCCTCTTTTTCTTTTAGTTCCTCGAGAAAACGAGACCAAAAAATTTGATGATGGGCTGTTTATGCTCCTGGAGTCACCCTCAAAAGTAGACTCGGTGTCTCTGCTAGTTGTAGATAACTTTCTCGAGGATTCAGCGGTGTGGTAGCTGCTTCCTCCACTGGGTGCCTCAAAAACCTCGTCAACTATGCCAGCGTCGTACTCAATGTCACCTGCTGATTATAACGGGTCGACCCCAGACATGTGGCTGCTGTCGGCGTTTTTCTGCAAAACTGATAGTAAATTTCGAGATACTGAAGTGTCGATTTCAGTAATGGACCCGTCGAGGTCTATTGAAAACTTCCCGGAGTCAAATGACAAATTAGAGGTAAGTGATAACAATTGTCCAGGTGTCGGAGCTAAAAAATTCGCAGTAGTGGGAGTATGATTTACGAGGTCAGACATTTCTAAGTCACGGTGAAGAGCATTGATGCGATTCAATCCAAAATCGGTGGGCTTAAAACTAAATTAAAACTAAAATTAAAATAATTATTAATTTCATACTTACGATAATGTGAATGCATCCTAATAATAAATCTCTTCTTCACTTAATAGTTTCACTTAATAAATTTCTTAATAAATTTCTTCACTTAATAAATCTCTTTTTCACTTATTATTATTTAACTAATTTATTATTACTATTTAACTATTTTTAATTTTCTTTGAAGGATTGTTATTAGTAAATATGTATTTTTATTACATTATTTAGTGAATGAATGTATAAATTAAAAAGAGAATTCCTGAAAAAATGATATATTTCATTTTAAATTAAATGTCCCACCATTTACCAGTGGCTCTGTGATGACAGACTTGAATGTATCTTCTAACCATAAGCCAATGTCTTGGTATCTGCACCTGACCTCTCTGTCGGTCCGACATGTTCAGAAATATCTGCAAATGTAAGTTTGAATAATATATATAAATATAATTGACAACGACGAACACACGTTTTTCGAGTGTGATCGGTGGAAGGACGACAGAACCAGTACCGAAGAAACAATAGGCACCACGCTCTCCCTTGAGAGCTTGGTAACCTGCATGATAAAAAAAGAAGGAAACTGGTCAGCTGTCGCAGCCTACGCGCAGCGACTTTTAAAAGAAAAAATCGCAGAAAGGGATTAGAAACCAGTAATTAGTAACAAGAAGTAGGTGTCATGAGACACAACATGGACTGGATTGAAGTAATGCTAACGCGGTCCCGTTCCAGTCATCCCTGTAACATCTATAGGGAAAGGAGAGAGGACGATGTTTAGTCGGTATTGTTGCAAATATTGACTTCCGAGTCCGACATACCCAGGCACCAACACCTAGTCCTGGCAACAACACCAAGCCCTGGCATACGTAAATGTATTTTACCTCCTCTATAAAAAAAAAATAAAAACACACACACACACACACACACACACACACACACACACACACACACACACACACACACACACACACACACACACACACACACACACATATACACATACACACATACACATACACACATACAGACACGGTGACATCACCGCGGAAATAGTTAGGAAAGCTTCCTAGGACCTCAAAACGTCGAGATCTGATGAAAACTCGATTTTCGAAAAACGGGGTAAAAACAATAACTTCCCGATTTTTGAATATTTTCAATTTTCTTAGCGGGAAGTTAAAAATCAAAAATTGCGATGGTAGACCTCTCAATATTAATATTAAGGGCTCAAATTCTCACAATATTTTGTTTCTTCAGTCGAAATGGAAAATTTCTCAGAGCTACCAATAACTTGTAAAATCATTGTAACGAAATAAAACAAAGCAATAGTAAATTTTAATCAAATAAATAAATGGAGAGATAGATAACTGTTGGTCTGAAAAAAACAAATAGATATGGAAATTTAATATTTGATGAATTTTCAGATACATAATTTTACAGAAATTTGATCGAATCGATAAATGGTTAAAGTCTGATCAAATGCAATATTTAGATTTCTATCTATGAGATCTAATGAAAAATGAATCGGTTTAAAATTAAATTTTTGGTAGAGATTAAAAAATGGCTATTCTATTGAAATATTTATGTTCATTAAGTCATAGCAGAGGGGTGGGTATGATTTAGGGATCTGAAGAATTTTTTCTAAGAAATACTATGAAAAATAAAAAACAGAAATTATTATTAAAAATTAAATTTAAGAAAATAAGGTAAAAGTGGCGATTTTTTGTAACTTTTAAAGACTCGTCCTTATACATTGAGAAAAAAAAATACTTTTACTCAATTAACAATTTCTTGGTTCAAGAAACTCGCCGACGATCAAATATTCTATTATTATTAATTATCAATTTCTGAAGAGAAGAACATCAATATTTATCTTTAGATAATTGATAAACAAAAGAATAGTTTCATTTCAATTAAGTAAAAATTATTTCAATCTATTTAACAATTTCTTGAGCTAAGAATATATATTCTTGAAAATTTTCAATAATATAAATTCTTGTATCAAGAAAATTTTCTGAATAAAAGTATTTTTTTTCTCAGTATAGTCTTCAGTGCCTTAAAAAGGTTTAAATTTTGTGTGAGGGTAATTATTCAAGTATTTTAGGATTCTGAAACTTTCAGTAAATTCGAAGAACCTTTCCCAAAACAAATTCATCTAAAAGTTAATGGATTACTCATACATGTACATGTACTGCATTCTATCTGTATAACTTAATCACTTGCGTGGGGGTAATTGCGCGCTCAATTCCGAGTAGCGCTCGCGCAATGTAGTTATTTTACTACTCTTGTTGAAGGGAGAGTGCTGCGTTTGAGGGAAGCACGTCTCGTTCTTTGAGCTCTTACCTGTGGTGTTCGTTAATCGAATTCACGACATTTTGCATTTCCAAGGGAAAACCAATTTTAGAAGTTTTTATAGCTCAATTTAAGTTTGATAACAGCTGATATTTATAGTGCTAATACTCGCAATACCTTACGAATATAAGGCTTTACTCAAGGGTTATGCAGAAAACGTATTGACTTCTGAACAATATAATATTATAAAGTTGTGTACAACATGGTTGTTGTTGATAAGATGTAAATATGTGTTGATAAAATACGTAAAAATTACTAATTTCTATCAAAATAAGATTATTTATTTTGATGAATACTTGTCATTATCGATTAAGTTTTAAATTTGAAATTAGTACATAATCATAATCTCAGACATTGAGTGAAATGTTGTGTGTACACAGTGCGTAATAAATCATCATCGTGTACATTATTACAGTCATACATCTAAGTTACTTTGTGTTATTTAAATAAGAAAACTAAGGATATTATCAAGAAAATCGTCATGAAATTAACAGTACAGATTAGATTGTTAATAGTCTTGTAAATGTTATATGCTTTGTTTATTCAAATTTTACTTTCAAAGTATCTCAGTTTTTTTTTCAACTATGTTTTGTTACTGAAACAAATAATCACGTTTAAAGTGAAATTAATATCAGCCAATGTATAGCAAAATTTTAGAAATAATAATATGAATTAAAGATAGAAAATTAATTTAGTGTAAAAAATTTATGTATCTAGAAAAAAATTAAGTTCTTTTGATAATCGAAATAATGAGGTAGTAGAAAGAATAATACGGTTTTACATAAAAATCGTTCTAAAATAATAACTAGGCTCCGAACAATGTTTCTGAGATAAGATGTAAATATGTGATACATTTTGGAAAAGTCAAGAAATGTCTACTTTCATTCCACTGTTTGTCTACTTTATCATTTACTTCGGTTAGTAAGCAACAATAATCATATTTATAATTGGCCAATTCTTATTGTTATTGTACATATACTTCAAATGTTTTGATTAAAGTTATTAACTATTTTTTTTAGCGAAAGAATATATAATTTAATTTTTTAAATGAAAAAATCTTTTTTTTATGATTTATGTAAATCAGCTTTTCTACTGATAGCTTGATAAAGTGTTGCCGACATTTTGATATTCCACTTTGATACAACATTGTTTTTTTTTTGAGATATGTAAACAATCTATTATTAAATTATGTTAAGACAAATAACCCAATACTTTGATATTGACTTCTGAGTTGAATATGGTTGTCATGTTTCTATTTATTATTTGCTTCGTGTATTTCTGTATTGTTTATTATCGCGTAACGTAAAAAAACAATGAAAAAATCGTTTGTCAAATAAAATTAAGTTAACTGCTAATTTTTAGTAGATTCCATAGAGATCTAACTATTGCATTTGTACTAATGATGGAACTATTGGAAATTTTTTTATTTTCCGAAGTAATTTTTTTTTCTTTTTTCTCAGAACTAAGCTCAAAAGTTCTGTTTGGGTATAAAAATAAGCCTGTTACAAAATGAACAATTAATTTTAATGTTCAGAAGTTGCGCATCGTACTTTTCGATTTATCATTAGAATAATATAGGAAAAAATTTTTTTTATTTTTCTGATTCTTGTAACTTACTAATTGAAGCAGTTTTGCTAAAGAAATTTGTTTTAAAAACTTATCATCGATGTAAACATTTCAAATTTTAATTTTTATCAAACCTTATACTTCTCGACTATAATTGTTTCTTTTGATTTCTTCCTGTAACGAAGACACTTATTTTTTGAGTCTGAAGATCTTAATAACTTATGAAATTTCTAAATCAATAAAAATAGTTTTTTTTAGCAAAAATTGCGATTATGATATGAGTGAAATTATCCTAAAATAGTGATGAGCAAAACAAGACCAAGACCAAGACCAAGACAGTCTTGGTATCGGTCTTGGCTTGCTTGTCCAGTCTTGGTCTTGGTCTTGCTCAAAAACTTGTAGTCTTGGTCTTGGTCTCGGTCTTGCATATTCAGTCTTGGTCTTGGTCTCGGTCTTGCATATTCAGTCTTGGTCTTGGTCTCGATCTTGCATATTTTGTTGTCTGCTCTTGAGGGAATAGTTTAGAAATTTTTTTTTATGTACCGCAGACAAATGTTTTTTAAAACCGGAAGTATTCCCATTTTTCATTTTTATTTTAAAAATTTTTTTACAGAGTTTATATAATCCGTATAAATCGTCTTTTGAATCAAGAAGATCGAATAACCCTCTAAATTTACTCTTATTTGACTGTTCAAATTTCTTAGATCTTACTAATTCCTGCTCAGAAGTATGAATTTTCTTACTATTCGCACACACTACACTATTTTTATCACTTTCTTGCACGGAAAAAAGAAAACTCGAAAAATTACAGTATATAATGCAACGTGGCGCTTCGTGATGAAAACTGGAAAAATTACAGTTTCAGATTGTAATTATTACAGATTTTATAAGAATTACATTGTGGAATGTAATATTTACATTGAAAGCTCTGAAAATTAAATTTAGAAAAATGTTATTTCAAACTGTAATTTTTCTAGTTTTGATTACGACGGGACCGATTTTACATTTTATACTGTAATTATTCCTGTTTTCTTTTTTCCGTGTAAGGTTGCTCTAATGACATTTTTTCTTGGTTACTCATTTTTCACAAAAATATGTATTTGAAACTTCAAAATCGGTCGCAAAACGGGCAGT